AATATATATATATATATATATATATAACATTTGTAATGTAAACTATAATTGTATACAATAATAAAAATATACCCTGAAAACCTGAAGCCTGAAGAGATAGATTATGCGCAGAGTCTGCTATAAATTTATGATAGAATAACGACAAATTGCAGACTCGATAATACAACTAACAATGTCGACAAATTACTGCTAAAAATCTAACGAAATCTCTTGACATTCTGTCAGCCGATTGACAACAGAAATCGTGTAGACTTTGCTGTAGTCTGCTGGCTATCAGATTCCGTGCCATCGAATCGACAGCGAAAAGTGAGCGTGATTTGCGTCACGTAATCTGATGGCAAACTAGAAACAGGATCTGCTTCATTTCTGCTGCCAATCTAAAGACTCACTCGACTGGTACAAAGTGTCGACAGGTTAGGTTAGGTTCTAAATATTATATTGAATTTCATAAAGATAAGTATGATAGTGTACTACGATGAAAAGTGAAAGTTATTGAAAAATTATTCGACATATTTCAAAATGAATTATACATTTTCCTATGAAATTTATGTAATACTGTGAAATATAAGGAAAATTAATGTACATTGTTGAAAAAAACTAATGAAATAGATTAGAAAGATAGAACAAGAATTTCAATTGGTACAAATATCGATTGATCGACGCAAAATATTTCCATCCAGAGAGCGTAAAATATTTCGTTGATTGATATACCATGTACTAATACTAATATAGCGATATCGAATTCTCGAACGATGTCATATGATAAATCTTCTTAACAAGGGTCTCGATGACTTAGTTTTAACAATTTCATGACACTTCTAACATCGATAAAATGTTATTGCGACGTCACCTTACTGGATTAAATATACTCGGAGAAATTACAGCAAATTATACACTAAATACTTAGATACTTAAATACTTAAACAAAAATCCGATATGTGATAAATTATCAAAATTGTTTAGAGTATTACTTACACGCCAGCTAAAAACTGTAAAACGGTACAAATTGACGCGGATATTGCGAGTACGTCTTTAATCTCCATCGAAATTATGTTTTGGAATATACATTTTTTTTTTTTCACATTTGATCAGTTATCAGTTTACACTTCGTTTAACTTATTTGCTATTTTTTATCAAATATCTTCGTAACGTAATGATTCCTACACATCGAACGCATCACGCGTAAATTATGACTGCTTTTCTCTAAAGCTGCTTCTTCGTGCAGCGAAGCGAAGCTAGCTCCAGAGAAAAGCCTGAGAGTGGACCCGAGAGATGCCCGCGATTTAGCTATAACTTTGTTTTCAAGCACCTCTATGTCCATACAAATGTGGACGTTCGACTACATAGCTAATGTCCATGATACTGTAGGTAATGTCCACTGTAGGTAATGTCCACTGTAGGTAATGTCCACTGTAGGTAATGTCCACTGTAGATAATGTCCACTGTAGGTAATGTCCACTGTAGGTAATGTCCTTTTTTGACAAGGACGGATAGAGATTGATCGTCCCTCTTCATCCAACTGTTATTCCCGCATATAGCATGGAACGAAACCACAAAATCGTCGACATACCACGTACCGATAAGAACCACATGATCGTGGGGACATTACCTACAGGATCATGGACGTTACCTACGGCACGTATATAGTTCGACGTGTTTACGCACGTGTTTACGCTTTTATGGACATAGAGGCGCTTCGAAATAAAATTACAGCGGAGAGAAACCTGAGAGTGGTCATAGAAGCGTTTTAGCTGTACCCTTATTCGCCGCAAAAGTGACAAAGAGAAGAAGACAGTCGTAAAATATGACACTTATGTTACGAGCTTCTGCGTTTACTTGGAAAAAACTTTTCTTTAAGGACTTTCCTCGTTTCGAATGCGGTTTAAGTTGTACTATACCTAATGCTTGTAATTTTGAGGTTAGATTACTTTACTCCAATATTTATTGTCATATATTATTCACTCGTATTTAATCAAATATCAGAATTAACTGTTAAATAATACGAATGATACTAATAATACTGATAATTTAATAATCGACATTTAAATCTTCCATAGAGACGATCCACGGGATGTAATATCAAGTACTTCTCAACGAAAGATTGCCAAAAAACTGTGGGAAGAACGGAAATTTATTATGGACCTCTAACCAAACATATCAAAGCTCTCAAACTTTTTTCATTATTGACTAGCACTTTTGGTTTATCGACTCAGCCATTTATTTACTTAAAAGCTATGGAAAATGATAATATTGATGCACTTTTAGGAATATCTGCGTGTATTGGATTATTGGCTATAATCACTCCTTTTTTAATACATATAATTACGAAAAAATATGTAACACACTTGTACTATGATGCGAAACAAGACATATATATCGCAAACACTTACAGTTTGTTTGCTCGAACAAAAGAGGTATCTATATATTTTATATACTATATAATTTTATACTTTGAGTAATAATAAACTGTATTTTAGCTCACATTTGTACCAGAGGATGTAGTTGTACCAGATGTAACTGGAATGTTTACAAATTGCGTTATAAAGAATATTCCGTTATTTTTGGAATCAAACTTTTTCTATGACCATAGTCATTATATTCGTATAATGGGATATGATAAACCAATGGATTTTAAATTAAATAATAATGATCAAACAGTGGATCAACCAATGGATACTAAATATACAAACGATAATAAAAAATAATCGTAACGTAAAGGCATATTTTATTTCATACTTTTTTTTGTACATAAAATTTATATTGTTTATATATCATTACGGAAGGTCATCTCAAGTGTTGTTTTAATCAAATATCTCTTTATTTGCAAATTAGATACAATAAATTGTACTGTCATTTTTCGCCTATGTCACGATAATCCAATATGGCCGCAGCGACTACTCAGGAGCCTTAAATTAACAATTTAACAATTTCTAAACTTTCGTTCATAATTATATGTTTATTTATAATGATCTGAAAACGTTAATATTTTTCGCAATAAAAATTTTCTTACAGATTTCCAATTGTTATTAAGGATACTAGAGGATTAGATATAGCATTCGATTGTTATATTGTTATTTTCAGACCGTAAGTAAACGATACGTAGTTATGAATGAAAGTTTAGAAATTATTTGTTTGAATTTACTTCATTAAATTAAAAAACTAGGTGCTCTTAAGATCTTGCCCAACCGCGCGGGTAAATGCCGCGAATCTTTATTTGTTAAATATAAAGCATTGTACATTTAATTAAAAGAGAAAAGATAAAAAATAGAAAAATACACATAAATACAAAATGTAGGAAATAAATATCAGATTATATAATTTAACTGCTCTATAAATTAATTATAAAATGTTATTAAGAACTAATATAATAATAAAATTAAATTTACTTGAATACAAATATTTCAAAGAAAATTTAGACTTTGGACCAGGTTAAAAAAGTATTAAAAAATTTTCTTTCCACACACACACACACACACACACACACACACACACACACACACACACTAGTGTA